TTGGGGATGTGGAGATGCCTACAGTCATCCTCGGGGACCCAGCCTACCCGCTAATGCCCTGGCTCATGAAGCCCTATACTGGCGCCCTGGACACAGAAAAAGAACTGTTCAACTACCGTCTCAGCAAGTGCAGAATGGTGGTGGAGTGTGCTTTTGGCCGTCTCAAAGGGAGATGGAGAAGCTTACTGACTCGCTGTGATCTCAGCGAAACCAATATCCCCATTGTTATAGCAGCTTGCTGTGTGCTCCACAATCTCTGTGAGAGCAAGGGGAAGACCTTTATGGCGGGGTGGGAGGTTGAGGCAAATAGCCTGGCTGCTGATTACGCCCAGCCAGACAGCCGGGCGATTAGAAGATCCCAGCGGGACGCGCTGTGCATCCGGGAGGCTTTGAAAGCAAGATTCCAGACTGAGCAGGCTAATCGGTGACTGTTAAGTTTGTGGACACAGATGCTGAACCTGCCCCCGTTTCTTTACCCAGTTCATTTTGACTATCCTCTCCAGTTACATACCCCCTTCACCCCCTTCCCCTTCCCAAAAAATAAAATCAGTTCTATTTTGTTAATGAACACCGTTGTCTGTATTGCTGTTTTCGCGGGAATGTTTTAAACCGGGGACACATACTGTGGCGGGGGGCGGGTTTAGTGTTCTGATGCAAATGATGCTTCTAAACTCCCGGAATGACAGGCTCCGCACTGGTGCACTGGTTATTTCAATGGAGCCTGCCAGCACTCCTGGGGGGGACTGCATGTATGTGTCGGCTATGTGACTTTCTGGCAGGGGGGGTAGGGTTACAGATCCCCTGCTGCGTGGATCTGTGAGCTAGGATAAGGACCGCTGCATAAGATCTGTAACTGCCCTCCCCCGCCACAAAGTCACAGAGCAACAGCCCCCACCCCCCAGAACATGAAAACCACCTCCAAGACTGACCAGGGTAACCAGTGACTGCACTGTGTATGTGTCCTGATGCTGGACCTGACCCCGCCTCTGTACCCTGCTAAAGGTGACTGTCCTGTCCAATTACCAAGCCCCTTCCCCCCCTTCAGACAGACTCTCCTCCAAAAGAACATGATGGAAACAGTAATGAACAGAAACTAATATTTTATGATGAACCACACATGAAACGTGGGGGGTGAAACTTGGACGGGGGCTTGTGTGAGGTGGGTAGGAAAGGACTTTTCAAATTTTGGGGAATGAGAGCCTTCTAGTGCTAGAGCAGTCTGCAGGGGTTGACTGAAAGTTTTAACGGCCCTTGCCGCCCCTCCTTCTTTGGACTTTGGGTGAGGGTGGTGTGGGACTTGGTGGCGGGTGAGGGCGGTTACAGATAGACTGCAGCGGGGCTCTGTCCTCCTGCCTCCGGTCTTGCAGAACATCCACAAGGCGCCGGAGCGTGTCCGTTTGCTCCCTCATTAGTCCAAGCAGCTTTTCAGTAGCCTGTTGGTCCTCCTGACGCCACCTCTCCTCCCGTTCCATGACTGCTCGGTGCATTTGTGACAAGTTCTCCCTCCACTGTGTCTGCTGGGCTGCCTGGGCTCGGGAGCAGCCCATTAGTTCTGTGAACATGTCTTCACGCGTCTTCTTCTTCCTCCGCCTAATCTGCGCTAGCCTCTGGGAGTGTGCTGACAGGCTGGGTTGGGAGACAGTCGCAGATGTGTCTGTGTGAATTGTAAAAAGGGAGTGAATTCCTGAGACAGATAAATGAAATTGTATACAAAGAACCTAGTCTTTCTCTGTGAACAAGACCATGCACTGAACCTCTCACATGCGCACTCAGGACAAGGTCGAATTTTCGGCCGTCGCCTTCAGTGCCTGTGGACTTGCGGAGGTCTTGGAGTGTTCAGAGAACTGTGGCTGGAGACCTGAACTTCTGGAGCGGGCAATAATGGTAAGCCGCAGACTTGTGGCTGCTTAAAACTCCAGCAGTAGCACTGGCCTCCTTTCACATTGAAAGCAATGCCAGTCTCTGCTGCCAGCAATCAGGACAGCATCAACTCTGCCCCTGTCCCACCCCCTCGCGGCTGTCCCAGGGAAAGATCCCTGTATGCTGCCCCTCTCCCTCCACCGCGTGGCTGTAAAGCAGTCCCAATACTAACATTCCCCTCCCTAATTCAAAGCAGGGCGTCATGAGCGACATCACCCTCCTGAGGATCTCGGACACCCAGAAGGAACGCATGCTTAGGGAAAGCATGCAGAAACCAGGGCCGTATGCCGCCATGCTATGTCGTGCGATGATCCCGGAGTACTTGATTGTGGCGTGGCGGGGACACGTGTGCTACCACGGAGGGCCCAATAAGATCGCCCTACCCAGGAACCTGATGAACAGGCTGGAACTGTACCTCCATGAGACCTACGAGGAGTTCTCCTATGAGGATTTCGCCTCAATCCCCGGCCATATTGACCGGATTTTCGCCTAGGTGCACTGGGACTATAGAGTGGAGCGTCTTGGGCCGCAGAATCATGAAGTACTGGACATTGTAAAAAAAATTTTAAATACTTGGGACTAAATTGTGAAGAGCCTAAGGCAGAGAAATCATGAGAAACCCTTTGTTACCATTGTAAATATTCCAGTTTTGTAGCAGATAATTTTTTACATGTTTAAAGCACTTTGGTAAAAACACATTGTTAATATTATGAATATTCCCGTTCTGTTAAAAATAAATGTTTACATGTTTACAGCACTTACTGCTTGATCCTTCCCCTGATTCTGTGTAGGGGTAAGGGATGGGGACGGTTGGTACGGGATCTCGGTAAGGGTGATGAAGAGCTCCTGGCTGTCGGGGAAATCAGCGGTGCCAGCGCTGTCGACTGCCTCGTCCTCCTCATCTCCTTCTTCATCTTCCCCGTCCGCTAACATGTCCGACGAGGAACCGGCCGCGGACAATATCCCATCCTCAGAGTCCACGGTCACTGGTGGGGTAGTGGTGGCGGCCGCACCTAGGATAGAATGCAGTGCCTCGTAGAAACGGGATGTGTGGGGCTGGGATCCGGAGCGTCCGTTTGCCTCTTTGGTTTTTTGGTAGCCTTGTCTCAGCTCCTTGATTTTCACGCGGCACTGCGTTGCATCCCGGCTGTAGCCTCTCTCTGCCATGGCTTTGGAGATCTTCTCGTAGATCTTAGCATTCCTTCTTTTGGAGCGCAGCTCTGAAAGCACGGACTCATCGCCCCACACAGCGATGAGATCCAAGACTTCCCGATCAGTCCATGCTGGGGCCCTCTTTCTATTCTGGGATTGCACGGTCACCTCTGCTGGAGAGCTCTGCATCGTTGCCACTGCTGCTGAGCTCACCACGATGTCCAAACAGGAACTGAGATTCAAACTGCCCAGACAGGAAAAGGAATTCAAAATTTCCCGGGGTGTGGCTGGTCAGAGCATCCGAGCTCGGACTGCTGTCCAGAGCGTCAACAGAGTGGTGCACTGTGGGATAGCTCCCGGAGCTATTAGCGTCGATTTCCATCCACACCTAGCCTAATTCGATATGGCCATTTCGAATTTAGCGCTACTCCTCTCGTTGGGGAGGAGTACAGAAGTCGAATTTAAGAGAGCTCTATGTCGATCTAAATAGCTTCGTGGTGTGGACGGGTGCAGGGTTAATTCGATGTAACGGCGCTAAATTCGACATAAAAGCCTAGTGTAGACCAGGCCTAACAGTATTCACCCCATACAATGGTAGAGCTTCAAGAGGGGAATTATCGGACTAAATGGAACATCACAAAAGCGTTTAACAGATTGTCATACTGTTTAACTTGTCAACAGAGCACAAAGGACATAGATGAACTTGAGCAACTTGAAACTTCAGGAAATAGGTTCAGACTAAAGAGATTTCTGGCTACATAGATTTGAGGTTTTTTAAGCGCCGTTCTACTCTGAAGAGTGTTATGAAAAAAAGAAGAAGAGATGCCTTCTTGTCTTTGGATAGGGTAGCACAACAAGTCAGGAGACCAGTTTCTATTCCCAGCTGTGCCACTCACCTACTGGGTGACCTTGGCAAGTCACTTCACCGTTCTGCACCTCAGTTTCCCCATCTCTAACACTAGCTCTCTTTCGTAAACGCTTTAAGTTCCATGGATGAAAACATTTAAGTATTATCACTACTGTGTAGATCTGCTCCAATTTGAGTTTTACTAGTGTTTTTACTCTCATTACCTCTGACTAGCCAACACAGCTATAGGAGAGTGACTTGGATTCCAGCCTAGCTTACAGATCAGCAGCACTGTTAATTGCATTTCAACTACAGAATTATTGTTGGGGGACCATGAGCCAGAATGAACACATACTGACTTTCAGATTCCAGGTTGAGTTAGGCAATTATAATAAAATCTTTTTACTTGTAAATTGATTTGACCTGGAGTCACCAAGACACAAAAACGGAATCTCATTATGCCAATTTTACAAAATCATTTTCAGAGCAGAATTGCTTTTATGGCTGTAGAAGCTTAACTTTTAAAAAAATCTTGGCCTATGTTTCTAGGACTCCAACACACTAGAATATGGGTTCACTTATCTAACTACAAATGCCCTTAAGTTCTAACTGAGAGAAGAATGAAATTCGCTGATCTAGGGCATAAACTTCTTATTTACGTAAAGAGCACTCTCTTCCTCCACCATTCAGAGAAGGTCAGGTAATGAAGAAAAAATTACATGCATCTGAGGAATAAAGATACCTGTACAAAACAGCTGAATACAGTATCCCCGGCTGGATGACGTTCAGGCACCTGGGAATTAAGCTTTCTGAAGTCACATAACACATTTCTATTAAGTTTATTTTAAATTGGAGCAGGAGAGAGAAATATAAAGATTAACACAATGTCACTATCCCTTGACGCTCTGTGAGGGAGTTACCCACAGCCCCGTCCATAAAGGCTGCATAGTGCCTGCCATACTGTCCATGACTTCCACAGAAAAGAAACCTTTTATTACACAAAACCTATAGGAGGCACAATTTTTTTCCTAAAATATTTTGTGGCAAATAATGTTTTTTAGCTTGTAAACGTAAAACTTACAAATGTTAGCCTTTGCCTAGCACTGTGTGTCCTTAAAATGTTTTTCACTCGTTTATGGATCTCTTCTCCATTTGCTGGTGTAGACCAACCAGAGTTAAATCTATAAGAGAGGGAGGGAAATAGAAGAAATATTCTTAGTTTAAAGAGGGCCAACACTTTTTGCTGTGAAGTTTTTTTTAAATTAAGAAACACAAATTATTACTTTCTATTTGGAATGTATAGAAGGTTAAAGTTCAATACTCTTTTTCTCCTCTGGGATAGAGCTAAAGCAGTGATACTCAGACCTTGGTGGTATTCAGGAGCCAAATTAACAATCAACATTACCCAAAAGAGCCACAGTAGTGTGAATTTATTGTTTCATTTACTATATATTCATATTTAAGCAGTACAACAGGGGAAATACTTAGCATATTATATATATATACATATTAGTATTCTCACAAAAAAATGACTGACCAAGTATTATTATTTTATCAACTACAATTGGTTAATAACATAGTAAAAGCATCCTGATTGGTTAATAACTTAGATTGGTTAATAATTAAATTACACAGCATTTTAATATCGTGTGCAGCAATGAACCTCAGTCTGAGTATCACTGAGCTAAAGAAACCTTTCGAAGGGGTGCATTGGGAAAAGATCGCCACAATTTCAATGATGTGCAAGCGTTGTCCATATTATCTGTGCACTGATTTGTAACTGTAAAGTTTGTGTGTCATATCTGTACTATTGCTATGGTATAGAAAAGCTAAACAATCATTTCATCCCCAGCAATGAAGTCCCATTTTCTCTTCTTACATGAAGAATTAGATACATTAAATTCCCTCCACCAAAATGAATCAACAGAACAAACCCCAAACCACCAAAAAATCCCTGAAAGTCACAAAACAGTTTTATGAAACTGCAAATTCAGTTTCCATCTTACAAGACGTAGCAAAGTTCTAAGTCCTAATTTTTTTATAAAAGACGCCCATACCAAAGAAGAAACTCCATCTGTTAATGCAAAACAAACGGATGGATTTTATTCTTTCATGACATGCACCCTGTTTATTTCATTTTACTTGAAAAAGTAATTTAAAAAGATTTCAGTTCTACCTTTCCCCATGCATTTAACTTTTCAGAATAGGAGTTAATCTTTAAATAGTTATTTTTCTCCACTAAGATTTTGGGATCAGCTCTTTTTACACGTGTTCTTCATTGCTGACCTACACTTTTGCTGTCTCTCTCACACACCCCTCGCCAAACTCTTTACTATGTTAGAATATTATTATTCAGGTTGCAAAGTCGAGCACTAGGAAGTTAGGAGATGCCAGAATTAAAGTTCTCTGTGCAACCTTAATTCAGCCCCCTTACATCTACGCATTACGATACAGTCTTTCATTAGATGATCAAGTACTATTTTTTCCCACAAGACCTCTGCCTCAATCAGTGCAGTGGATTTCTTCTGAAGATAAAACAGGGCTGTGTATTGAAGGAGGCTGTTATCTGTACAAGTCCTGTCTCATTTGTTGCAGAATTTGGAAGGCATGTAGTGAATGAGGCCAAGGACCGCAGGAAGAGAAAGGCTGGTCTTCTGGTTAAGGAGTTGAATGCTGCCTGGAGGATGGGTTTCTATTCCTCCTGCTGCCACAGTGTTCCTATGTGATGCTGAGGAAGTCACTAACAGTATGTGATCATGCAATTAAAAACTATGACAACGCATATGCACAAGGGAGACGAATTAAGGTTGCACAGAGAATTTTAATTCTGCCATTACATAACTGTTGAGTGTTTGACTTTGCAACCTTAAAAATGTTCTTTTAACGGTTTTTCTGTGTGTAATTTCCTCAATTTTTAAAATAGCCAACTGAAAAAACAGGATTTCTACCATGTTGCATCATATTAGCAGGGATGGAACCTTTAGATCCACGACACAGTCCTCTGCTACTTGAGCTAATGGAGTAACTGATAGCAATAGTAGGTTGTCAACCTCTGTGTGGACCAGCAGTAGAGTGGTATGGGACCTTTGCCAGCAGGTTTCACAGATCTCTCCCCCCAAGCCCTGTCACCTTGCCCAGCTAGTTCCACTTCCCCCTTTCCAGCTCCACACCTGATCTCTCTCTCTGCTCCCCACACAGTAGCTCCCAGTCTCTCCTCTCAGGCTCCTCATCCCATCAGTCTCCCCCACGCCTCCTCCCCCGTTACTTTCCCCAGTATCCACCTACACTGGTTCCTAGCTCCAGTCTCTTTGTCCAGCAAGCCCCAATTTAAGAAGTCTCTACTGAGCATGTGTGAACTGCAATTTTTCAATGGCTTACAATTTGGCCAAATTTGGGGCAATTTTAATGTGGACAACACAGGGCCATACTCTGAGAAATTTCAAGTCCCTGCTCAAAAGCACGGAGATGCTAGAGCTGTTTAAAGAAAAGGGCACTCGAATTCTTAAACATGGACAAAATGTACCTTTCACTAGCTTCTTTCTCAGAACTCAGGGAATCATTTTGGCTGAAATTTTCAAAACCAAAATCAGCCTGAGGCAGACACCCAGCATGGAAAATTTCAGCCCAAACAGTTGAAGTCTGGTAAAGTTATAAACTACTGAAAATGGGGTCTTATGGGACATGTTGGGCAACCTTAATAATAGGCAGGGCTACCACCCCAGCCTATAATTATTGATTGCTTAGGCACAGTTGCTAGATAAAAGGTGAGGGGGAAGACTGTTTTTTGCTGACCAAGAGTTTGCAAAGAAGGAAGGCTAAACTGATGATGATTAAGTATGTTTATAAAAAAACCCAAAGGTATTGCCAGGGCAGGTGGAGCTTGTCACCCTTGATAGGCAGCTCAACTAGGAGAAGGGAAACTCCAATTTCAAACCAAAAGGTCGCAGGTTTGGATAGCTGACCTACAAAGCTCCTCCAGCAGACATGCTCATGTGAACTGGCGTCTATGTCAAGTACCCCAGAGAGCTAAGATGTTCCCGGCAAGCTATGTACAGCAGCCTTGTTTGACTACTGGAACTAGGAAAAGGCCGCTAAAAGAAGTTAAAGAAGCAAGTGAGTAAGCAGACGTGCAAGTTGGAATGTAGAACATTCTCTGGAGGAAGTCTGGAACTATGCGAGGTCTGAAAATGAGGCGAATAGTAAACATGACACGTATACAAGAGATCATAGGGAAAGTTGTAGAGCCAAGATTCTGATGGAGGGTTACAAAATCTATTACTCAGGGAATTAAACTTCCTGAAATAGTGTTGTAAATTGTTCCAGATGAAACCATGCACAGGCATATGATGGAGATTACCAGAAGGTTGGACTGACTAATGGATGTTAAATTGTGTTGGGAAGATGTCACTATCCGTATAATAAGTTGACGTGCACCACAGTTAGGAGAGTTCTCATAGACTTTAAGGTCAGAAGGGACTATTATCATCATCTAGTCTCACCTCCTGCACAACGCAGGGCACAGAATCTCACCCACCCATCCACGCCTGTAACAAACCCCTAACCTATGCCTGAGTTACTGAAGTCCTCAAATCATGGTTTAAAGACCTCAAGATGCAGAGAATCCTGAGAGAATCAAAAGAGAAGTTTTTCGATGAGTTGCTGTGCCTTATTGGAAACATACCATCCAATGAGAAGACATTTATTGGAACAGATCTAAAATGCACACATTTGAACTGACAAGGCTGGATATGAAGCAGGCCATAAGGCACTGGAACCATAAACACATTTTCCATGAGGGGGGAAAGGTTCTACAGACTTGTCTGGCATTGGAATTGGTGACTGCACTTGCAGAAGAGGGAAAGCCATCTCATAACTTGTGCCAGTGGAGGACAAGTCCCAAACTGATTTCTTAGATAGATCACAAATAATTAATTGTAAGGTAATACCCAGAGAGCGCACTGTGAGACAGCACAGACTTCTCCTGATGGACTCCAGAATGCAGAAACGTCTGAGCCCCTGGGCACCAGCGAGGCCTAAATGATGGCCACTTAAAGATGGGAATGAGAAAACCTTCGAACAAAGAGTAATGCATAGACTTCCTGACTACACTCAGGGATGGGTGGAGGACAACTGATTCAAATGAACGTAAACTGTTAGAAATGGCACATGAAGTCCTAGAAATGATGTAACCGACGCCAAAAAGGATATGAAGGGAGATGTGGGTGGTGGACTCCGCAAGTTAAAGAATCTGTTGGGGGTGAAAAATAGTAACCTTCAAAAAAGGCTGGTCAGTGGCTTGAGGAGAGCTAAGATGGCATACATGGAGGCAAAAAAGCAGCCAAAACAAGTGTTGTGGGGGCTAAAAGTGTGGCCCGTGATGTGTTATATAACCGCCTAGGAGGACATGAGGGAGAGAAGACCATCAAAAGACTTGCCAAGGCAAGAGAGAAAATGTTGAGAGACGTGAACAAGTTTGCTTACACTAGAAATGAATAAGGAATATTGCAAATAAACGGAGAATTAATCAGCAAAGTTTGGAGTGATTACTGTGAAAGAGTGATGAATGAGGAGAACCCAAAGGAGGAAATAAGAACATGTAAGCTGAACTGAGGCCTGACTGATTGCATACAGAAGGAAGAGGCTACAGAAGCACTTAAGAAAATGAAAAAGGGGAAAGTACTTGGGCCAGATGAAGTACTAGTGGGTGAAATGAAATCACTGGGAATGGAAAGTATTAAGTATCTTATACGTTTGTTTATCATAGAATCATAGAATATCAGGGTTGGAAGGGACCTCAGGAGGTCATCTAGTCCAACCCCCTGCTCAAAGCAGGACCAATTCCCAACTAAATCATCCCAGCCAGGGCTTTGTCAAGCCGGGCCTTAAAAACCTCCAAGGAAGGAGATTCCCCCACCTCTCTAGGTAAAGCATTCCAGTGCTTCACCACCCTCCTAGTGAAATAGTGTTTCCTAATATCCAACCTAGACCTCCCCCACTGCAACTTGAGACCATTGCTCCTTGTTCTGTCATCTGCCACCACTGAGAACAGCCGAGCTCCATCCTCTTTGGAACCTCCCCTCAGGTAGTTGAAAGCAGCTATCAAATCCCCCCTCATTCTTCTCTTCTGGAGACTAAACAATCCCAGTTCCCTCAGCCTCTTCTCATAAGTCATGTGCTCCAG